GTTCTTGGATGCTCCGTTGGGCTAGCGCTGATGAAATGTGCCCCAGCAGCAGCCTCAACCAGGGACTCTTTGCAACCTTGAGCAACCTTTCACTTCTTTCCCCAGCTTCAGCCTTAGCAATGCAGAGCTCCATATCTTGGCTCAGTGGAATCACCAAACCTTTCCTTATGATTTTTGAAACTTTTTGCCCCACATCAAGACTTTTTCTCCCTCTAAGGACATACTTTCATCAATGGATTCCCCATAATGAACTATCGACATATATTGAGCCATGATTGAGGCTCTTATCAATTTCCCTATGGGACATGGGGGGAGGGGGAGGGATAAGTGGATATATTTTCTGTATCATGATTTCTATATTTCTATATTTCTCCCTGTGTATCTGACCCTTTCCTGACCTTTTTGCCCCATTCCCCTTTTATTGAAAAATGTATAAAAAAATACAAGGAAATCGCCCCTCCCTGGTCTTGGAAAGGAGGAAATCTTCAGTTGAAAAGACCCTTATCAAAGACACAATTGCATGGACAATAGAAAGGGATCATGACCTCTGAGCTCGGACTTAGTCCCCCAGAGGAAGTGGTCATTTGGCAATTATGATCATATCTCAATGGGAATGGAGGGGGCCTTCGGAAAGCCGCACCTTGTCCTAATCTGTCACCCATTCAACTTTTCTCTCACCGATACTTCCACCAAAGTTCCCCCATTGTTCCTATATCTCAGCACTGGAAAAAATCCAGATCTTGGCAGGATCGCCAAACATCAATGTTTATTACAACCACTCATACACAATAGCCAGACTGGCTCACAGGCCCTCAGGACTTGTCTGTCAATTGGACATCCAAAAATCTCCATAATCCACTCAAGAATGCATTATTTCCCCTTGTCCCGCCTCTCAGCACTGGAAAAATCCAGATCTTGGCAGGATCGCCAAACATCAATGTTTATTACAACCACTCATACACAATAGCCAGACTGGCTCACAGGCCCTCAGGACTTGTCTGTCAATTGGACATCCAAAAATCTCCATAATCCACTCAAGAATGCATTATTTCCCCTTGTCCCGCCTCTCAGCACTGGAAAAATCCAGATCTTGGCAGGATCGCCAAACATCAATGTTTATTACAACCACTCATACACAATAGCCAGACTGGCTCACAGGCCCTCAGGACTTGTCTGTCAATTGGACATCCAAAAATCTCCATAATCCACTCAAGAATGCATTATTTCCCCTTGTCCCGCCTCTCAGCACTGGAAAAATCCAGATCTTGGCAGGATCGCCAAACATCAATGTTTATTACAACCACTCATACACAATAGCCAGACTGGCTCACAGGCCCTCAGGACTTGTCTGTCAATTGGACATCCAAAAATCTCCATAATCCACTCAAGAATGCATTGTTTCCCCTTGTCCCATCTCCCTCTCTCCTAATTTGTCAGGACGCCGAGGCGGCAAGAGCCCAGTGATTGGCTCAGGTGCTGGGGAGGCGGCCAAGCCTCCTTCCAGCTATTCAAACACCAGCCAATCACCGTCGAGCCGGCAGAGGGGCAGGGAGCGGGAAATTCAAAACTGACTATCCTGTTTCTGTCTAAAAATGGCTTTTATTTGTACACGTTATGCTTAGCTTGGCGAAATATTGCGGCTTTGCATCCTTTCCAGCTGGATCGCAATAAAATCATCTCGGTGGTGCTTCCTTCAACTTTGTTGAGATTCTTTTTGGGAACTTAGGGAAAAATCTTTTAAAATTCGGCTTCTCTTGCTCACCACTATAGCGAGCCCTTTTTTGGTGGGTTCGCAGGGTCTCTCCTTCAGGGCCAGACCCTTTAAAATTCTTCATAGACTTCGGTATTGTCATTTAAAGCCCTTATCCTTGCTTGGGAATAGATGTGTCCCTCTTGGCTCAAGCCCAGAGGTGTCTTGGCCCCCGAAATGCAACTCTATGTATCCCACATCCTGGAGCAGCAGGCCTTGCTACTCGCAGAGCTGCCCCAAAGCGGTGCCAAAGTCAATAAATAAGAAGCGCTTATGGCTCGGTCCAGCTGAAATCCTACTCTTTCTGGCAGGTGGGGAGTGTTTGCTGCTTTCCAAGGAGGACTTTTAAGGAAAACATACCCAGGAAAAGAAATCCTCCAAAGAATTCTGTAGAATGTTTGGCCCGAAGAATGTTAAATAATTGTGAGAATAGGGGGAACAAATCAAAGAAGTGCAGTCGTCCCTCCACATGCGATCCTTCCAGCATAATCCAGCCATAGTGATATCCTGAGTGTTCTTCTTTATCGCAAGCATGTGGACATTCCACAGATATATAAACCCAATTTTCCTAGTTTCCAACAGACTTTACAACCTCTGAGGATGCCTGCCATAGATGTGGGTGAAACGTCAGGAGAGAATGCTTCTTGTATGTGGCCATACAGCCCGGAAAACTCACAACAACCCAGTGATTCCGGCCATGAAAGCCTTCGACAACATACTTTATTGGGTTGTTGTAGGTTTTTTCGGGCTATGTTCTAGAAGCATTCTCTCCTGACATTTTGCCTGCATCTATGGCAAGCATCCTCAGAGGTAGTGAAGTGTGTTGGAACTAGGAAAATGGGTTTATATATCTGTGGAAGGACCAGGGTGGGACAAAGAACTCTTGTCTGTTGGAGGGAGGTGTGAATGTTTCAACTGACCACCTTGATTAGCATTTGATGGCCTGGCAGTCGTTTGGTGTGGCTTGTTAGTGCCTGGGGCAATCTTTTGTTGAGAGGAAAAGTGTTCTTGCCATACATCAAGCGAACCACTGACCGCGTAGGCAGAGGGGGCCCTAGGTCATTTTCAATGGTAAGCAAACAGTATTTTGCCCCCCCCCCCCAACCAATCACCGATATATATTTTCTGTTCATCATGGAAGTTCTGTGTTCCATATTTGGTTCAATACCATCATTGGTGAAGTTCAGAATGCTCTTTGATTTTAGGTGAACTATACATCCCAGTAACTACAACTCACATATGTCAAGGTCTATTTTCCCCCAAGAGCACCCATGGGCAAAATCAACTATACTGCAAATGCTTACTTTGCGTAATGGTTGAGCCGCCCCTGCGCATAGGGAAGCTGATGAGGAAACACAACATACAAACTATCTACAGACCCACCAAGAAAATCCAACAAATGCTACGTTCAGCAAAGGAGTCTACCGTGTACCATGCAGCTGTGGCCAAGTCTACAGAGGGACCACCAAACGCAGCAGCATTGCCCAAACACGCATCAAGGAACATGAAAGGCCCTGCAGACTACTCTAACCAGAGAAGTCAGCCATAGCAGAGCACCTGATGAACCAACCTGGACACAGCGTATTATTTGAGAACACAGAAATGCTGGATCACTCCAACAACCACCATGTCAGGCTACACAGAGAAGCCATTGAAATCCACAAGCATGTGGACAACTTCAACAGAAAGTGGAAACCATGAAAATGAACAAAATGTGGCTACCAGTATTAAAAAACCCTAAAATTACAACAGTACAACAACAGAGAGGAAACAAACAAGGACATCTAATCACTTCTCAACGAAAGTTTGCTCTAGGCAATGTCAGGCCATTATATGCTAATCAAGGTGGTCAGTTGAAACATTCACACCTAGCTCCAGCAGACAAGAGTCCTTTGTCTCACTCTGGTCATTCCACAGATATATAAACCCTTTTTCTTAGTTCCAACAGACCTCACTACCTCTGAGGATGCTTGCCATAGATGCAGGCAAAACGTCAGGATAGAATGCCTCTAGACCATGGCCATAAAGCCCGAAAAAACCTACAACAACCCAATAAAGGACCTTGTTAAACCTTTCAAGCTTCTAAAGACTCTGTATAGCAGTGGTTCTCAACCTTCCTAATGCCGCGACCCCTTAATACAGTTCCTCATTTTGTGGCGACCCCCAGCCATAAAATTATTTTCGTTGTTACTTCATAACTTTAATTTTGCTATTGTTATTAATTGTAATGTAAATATCAGATATCCAGGATGTATTTTCATTCATTGGACCAAATTCGGCACAAATACCCAATACGCCCAAATTGGAATACTAGTAGGGTTTGGGGAGGGGTTGATTTTGCCATTTGGGAGTTGTAGTTGCTGGGATTTGTAGTTCACCTACAATCAAAGAACATTCTGAACTCCACCAATGATGGAACTGAACCATACTTGGCACACAGAACTCCCATGACCAACAGAAATTACAGAAAGGGTTTGGTGGGCATTGACCTTAAGTTTGGGAGTTGTAGTTCATCTACATCCAGAGAGCACTGTGGACTAAAACAATGATGGATTTGGACTAAACTTGGCATGAATACTCCATATGCCCAAATGTGAACATTGGTGGAGTTTGGGGAAAATAGACCTTGACATTTGGAAGTTGTAGTTGCTGGGATTTATAGTTCACCTACAATCAGAGCATTCTGAACCCCACCAAGGATAGAATTGGGCCAAACTTCCCACACAGAACACTCATGACCAACAGAAAATACTGTGTTTTCTGATGGTCTTTGGCAACCCCTCTGACACCCCCTCACGACCCCCCAGGGGTCCCGACCCCCAGGTTGAGAAACACTGCTGTATAGGAAAATCCTTAGGGCCTCTCACTTGAGGCACCCCGGCTTCCTGTGCTGTTCAAAAGCCAACTGCTATAGTCCCAGCGTGTGACAGCACATCCATAAAAAGGAGCATCAGTCTCCTTTGCAAGACTTGGAAAGGCTGCTTTGTTAGCAATACATGTTTGATGTATTGTCGAAGGCTTTCGTGGCCAGAATCGCTGGGTTGTTGTAGGGTTTTCAGACTATATGGCCATGTTCTAGAGGCATTTTCTCCTGACGTTTCACCTGCATCTGTGGCAAGCATCCTCTGTTGGAACTAGGAAAAATACATGTTCGACTTGCATCCCTCTTTGATATGCCTCTACACCTGGGGCCGTGGAGAGGGGTCTTGCTCTATAGTAAGGCTCTCAGAGAGGAGATTGGAAACATGTGCGTGGCCTTAGCCAACAATGCGCGGAGAGAGGCAAGAGTGTGCCTGTGTTTGTGCAGCAAAGCCGGCTGTTTGCTTTGCCTCCCCTTTTCTCTGGGGTCCCTTTGGTGGCGCCGCGGCCCCCCTTTTCTCATTGGTATGTGGACACTATTGAAGAAGAGAGAGAAAAGAACGAGCAAAGCGCACCGGGCCTGCCTGTCTTCCCATCTGGCGCCGGCCTTCTTTTCCTCCCAACCTGAGATCTGGCGAGGGGAGGGGAGACACATTTCCAAAGCAGGAGAAGGAGGAGAAAGGAAGGGAATGTTGCCCCCACCTCCCAATTTGAAGGACTGGGAAGAGGGAGGACCATCCTGGCATTGACTCTCTTTCTCCTCTTTCTCTGCCTTTGGAAGTTCATTGTTTCTTGGGAAGGAAAGGTGTGTGCGCTTCCCTGACTTCCCTTTTGCTTTGTTTTTTTTTTTTTGCTCTGGATTTTCAAAGAAAGTTTGCCAAAGTTGGCGCAGCAGAAGGACTTCGAAGTGCGCACTGCGCAGCCCAAGGGACTGAAGGCGACCACAGTCGGAGAGAGAAGTGTCCAAGCTCTCATCCTCTTTGGATGTCTGGAGCCATGCGCTTTTGCCTGTCCCGAGAAGAGGTGGAGTGTCCGGCACAGTGGCTTTAGGACAAAGTGAAGGAGAAGGCACTGGCCATGGCTCTCTGGACCCTGTCCATCTTTGCCCTCCCATTGATGGCCCTCGAGGGCAACCAGCTGCACCCTGGCATGTGAGTCTCCCAATCATAAGAGGATAATGGGATGGAGTTGGGAAGGGAGAGGAGGTCTTGGGTCCCAGTCTGTTCTGGGCATCCCAAACTTGCCCGGTGCATCTACACTATGCACTTTGGTGCTGCTTCCAGATTGAAAATGAACAGCATCACTGGGTTGTTGTTGGTTATTTTCAGGCTATATGGCCATGTTCTAGAGCAGTGTTTCTCAATCTGGGGGTCAGGACCCCTGAGGGGGTCGCGAGGGGGTATCAGAGGGGTCGCCTAAGACCATAAGAAAACATTTTCTGATGGTCATGGGGATTCCATGTGGGAAGTTTGAGCCAATTCTATCGTTGGTGGAGTTCAGAATGTTCTTTGATTGTAATGAACTATAAATCCCAGCAACTACAACTCCCAAATGTCAAGATCTATTTTCCCCAGACTCCACCAGTGTTCACATATGGGCATATTGAGTATTCGTGCCAAGTTTGGTCCAGATCCACCATTGCATGAGCCCACAGTGCTCTCTGGATATAGGTGAACTACAACTCCCAAACTCAAGGTCAATGCCCATCAAACCCTTCCAATGTTTTCCATTGGTCATGGGAGCCAAGTTTGGTTCAAATCCATTGCTGGAGGAGTTCAGAATGTTCTTTGATTATAAGTGAACTATAAATCCCAGCAACTACAACTCCAAAATTACAAAATCACATTTGGGTGTATTGGGTATTTGTGCCCAGTTTGGTCCAATCAAAGAAAATGCATCATGCATATCAGATATTTACATTATGATTTATAACAGTAGTGAAATGACTGTTATGAAGTAGCAATGAAAACAATATTATGGTTGGGGGTCACCACCACATGAGGGATTGTATTAAGGGGTCACGGCATTAGGAAGGGTGAGAACCACTGTTCTAGAGGCATTCTCTCCTGATGTTTTGCCTGCATCTGTGGCAAGCACCTTCAAAGGTAGTGAAATCTGTTGGAACTAGGAAAATGGGTTTATATATCCATGGAATGACCAGGGTGGGACAAAGGACTCTTGTCTGCTGGAGCTAGGTGTGAATGTTTCAACTGACCACCATGATTAGCATTTGATGGCCTGGCAGTTGTTTGGTGTGGCTTGTTAGTGCCTGGGGCAATCTTTTGTTGGGAGGTGATTAGATGTCCTTGATTGTTTCCTCTCTGTTGTTTTGCTGTTGTAATTTTTTAAATACTGGTAGCCAGATTTTGTTCATTTTCATGGTTTCCTCCTTTCTGTGTGCCCAGAGGAGAGTCTCTTATTTGGTATCAGCCATTGATTGAGGTTCTGGGTTTGAGCCTGCCACTTTTGGACTCTCACTTGCTGGGGTGTTCCAGCGAGTGTCTCTGTCGATCTTAGAAAACTATTTCTTGATTTAAGGTGTTGACATGCTGGCTGATACCCAAACAAGGGATGAGCTGGAGATGTCACTGCCTTGGTCCTTTCACTATTTGTTGCTACTTCCCGACGGATGTCAGGTGGTGCAATACCGGCTCCAGTGGTTCTCAACCTGGGGTCCCCAGATGTTTTTGGCCTTCAACTCCCAGAAATCCTAACAGCTGGTAAACTGGCTGGGATTTCTGGGAGTTGTAGGTCAAAAACATCTGGGGACCCCAGGTGGAGAACCACTGGGCTAGACAGTGTAATTTCTCCAGTGGTGTAGGGTGCAGACACCCTGTGATAATGCAGTATGTCTCATTAAGAGCCACGTCCACTGTTTTAAGTGGGCATGCGTATTCAGCAGCAGAGTAGCAAAGCACAAGGGAAGATGTCTTCACTGTGTCTGGTTGTGAACCCCAGGTTGTGCCAATCAGCTTTCGTATGATATCATTTCTACAACCCACTTTTTGCTTGATATTCAAGCAGTGCTTCTTGGAGGTCAGAGCACAGTCCAGGGTGACTCCCAGGTGTTTGGGTGTGCTTCAATGCTCCAATGGGACTCCTTCCCAGGTCACCCTCAGAGCCTGGGATGCTTGACTGTTCTTAAGATGAAAAGCACTCATCTGCATTTTAGATGGATTAGGAATGCGCTGGTTTTCCCTTTAATAGGAAGTAAGAGAACCTAAGCTTTTGAGAACTTCTGTTCAGCCATTTCAAAACTCCCTGCTTGAGCAGTGATGGCACAATCGTCAGCATAGATGAAACTCAGTGTCCCTTCTGACAGAGGCTGGTCATTTGTGTAAATGTTAAACATTGATGGAGCAAGCACACTCCCCTGAGGCATAAATAAAATAAAAATAAATATTGGTGGTATCTCATCAAAGTACCAACCAACACTGACCCCAGTTAGCAGCCAAGATCAGATGAGATTGGGTGCTCTTACAGTATTATTATAATTACAATTATAATATCTGATATTCATTGGTGGTCTCCCATCCAAGTACTAACCACAGGGCTAACCATGTTTAGCATCCACAATCAGATGGGATCTGATGCCCTTCCACCATCATCCACCACCAACATCATTATGATTTTTTTTTCTATTCTGGCTAATCCTTCTAAAAAGAGACCCAAAGTGATTAACACACAAACAATAGAATCTACACAATTTAAAAAATGAAAAAGAAATACAAACATTAAAGTAGGATTAAACAATGTAGGAATAAACAATATCTATGTATCTTTCGATCTATCTGTCTATCTATCTATCTATCTATCTATCTATCTATCTATCTATCTATCTATCTATCTATTCATCTGCCTATCTGTTATTCTATCCCTCCATCTGCCCATCCATCCATCTATCTATCTATCTATCTATCTATCTATCTATCTATCTATCTATCTATTATCTATCTATCTATCTATCTATCTATCTATCTATCTATCTATCTATCTATGGGTTTAGGGTTTCTTCCAGCTTTGGGATCCTTCCTTCCTTCCTTCCTTCCTTCCTTCCTTCCTTCCTTCCTTCCTTCCTTCCTTCCTTCCTTTCCTTCCTTCGTATCCATCTGTCTCTCTATCTATCTACCTACCTACCTATCTATCTGCCTATCTGCCTATCTGTTATTCTATCCGCCCATCTTCCCATCCATCTGCCCATCCATCCATCTGTCCATCCATCTATCTGTCGATCTATCCATCGATCCATCCGTCGATCCATCCGTTGAACCATCCATCCATCCATCCATCCATCCATCCATCCATCCATCCATCCATCCATCTATCTATCTATCTATCTATCTTACTTACTTACTTAGGCGATCCCTCGTTGGACGAGTAAGATGGTCTTCCATTATGGATTTCCTTGTGGGTCTGTATGTGGCTGTGGAGCCCTATTCTTGCTCTGCATCTTCTTCCGCACTGAGGGCATTGGTTTCCAGGTGGAAGGCGGTCCCGGTCGGGGTTGGCTTGACGCGCCTTCCTCTTGGCACATTTCTCTTTCACCCTCCACTCGTGCCTCTTCAAATTCTGCAGCACTGCTGGTCACAGCTGACCTCCAGCTGGAGCGCTCAAGGGCCAGGGCTTCCCAGTTCTCAGTGTCTATGCCAGAGTTTTTAAGGTTGGCTTTGAGCCCATCTTTAAATCTCTTTTCCTGTCCACCAACATTCCGTTTTCCGTTCTTAAGTTCGGAGTAGAGCAACTGCTTTGGGAGACGGTGGTCAGGCATCCGGACAACGTGGCCGGCCCAGCGGAGTTGATGTTGGAGGACCATCGCTTCAATGCTGGTGGTCTTTGCTTCTTCCAGCACACTGACGTTTGTCCGCTTGTCTTCCCAGGAGAGTTGCAGGATTTTCCGGAGGCAGCGCTGATGGAAACGTTCCAGGAGCTGCATGTGACGTCTGTAGACAGTCCACGTCTCACAGGCATATAGCAGGGTTGGGAGGACAATAGCTTTATAAACAAGCACCTTGGTATCCCTACGGATGTCCCGGTCCTCAAACACTCTCTGCTTCATTCGGAAAATGCTGCACTTGCAGAGCTCAGGCGGTGTTGTATTTCGGCGTCGATGTTGACTTTGGTGGAGAGGTGGCTGCCAAGGTAGCGGAAATGGTCAACATTTTCTAATGTGACACCATTAAGCTGTATTACTGGCATTGGAGAGGGATTGGCTGGCGACTGCTGGAACAGCACCTTGGTTTTCTCAATGTTCAGTGACAGGCCGAGCTTCTCATGCTTCTGCAAAGGTGTTTAGAGTGGCTTGTAGATCTTCTTCTGAATGCGCACAGACGACATTGTCATCAGCATACTGGAGTTCTATAACAGATGTTGTTGTAACCTTGGTTTTGGCTTTCAGTCTGCTGAGGTTGAATAGCTTGCCATCTGTCCGATAGATGATTTCCACTCCGGTGGGAAGCTTCCCATCAACAAGGTGAAGTATCATAGCGATGAAGATGGAGAATAGAGTTGGGGCAATAACACATCCCTGTTTGACACCTGATTCCACCTTAAATGGGTCACTTTGGGAGCCACTGCTGTCCAAGACTGTTGCCATCATGTCATCGTGGAGGAGCCGCAGGATGTTCACAAATTTGTTTGGGCACCCAATTTTGTGGAGGATGGTCCAGAGAGCGCTGCGATTCACTGTGTCAAATGCCTTTGCAAGGTCGATGAATGCCATGTATTTTCTTCATCGCTCATCTGTTTCTCTCCCTTCTTTTCTTCCTTCTTCCTTCCTTCCTTCCTTCCTTCCTTCCTTCCTTCCTTCCTTCCTTCCTTCCTTCCTTCTATCCATCCACCTATCTATCTTTTTTTATTATGTCCATCTATCTATGGGTTTCTTCCACCTCTAGGATTCTTTTTTCTTTCTTTCTGGTCTTTCTTTCTGATCTTTCTTTTTTTCCATCCATCATTCCATCCATCCGCCTACCTATCTTCTTTAAAATATGGCTTGAATTTTCTTTTTCTCGAAGGAAGTTGGTGAATAACGTGAAAACCTACCTCTGGTCTGTTCAGCGACTTAAAAGTAGGGTAGCCTACTTTTGTTTGGCTTCTTGGCGAAAGCTTTGGGGCCTCTTTGTCAAACTTGCTTGCCAGACGGAAAGATCCAAACATCCGCTTGCTAAACAGCAGATTGATCTGGGAAAACGTTTTGGTGTGTGTTTTCCCCTTGGGAAAGAAGCTGCCTTGGCTGAACCTCCCTGCATTTTTGCAGAGGGGAACTCATGGACCAAGCCAAGGGATGGGGAAAAGGATTTCTGAGAAAAAAATGGGGTATCGAATATATTGTCATTTTTCACACATTGTTTTGCAAACTGCAGCAGGTTACATTTTAGATTTATTTATTTAATGTATCAGGAGCAAACCAAGGGTACAGTTGCAATGCATTTTAAAAAGAACACAAAGTTTTTTAAAAAAGACATTTGGCACTAGCTTTCCCCCCCTCTTTCTCTCCTTCTTTCCCTCCATCCTTCACTCCTTCCTTCCTTCCTTCTTCCTTCCTTCCTTCCTTCCTTCCTTCCTTCCTTCCTTCCTTCCTTCCTTCCTTCCTTCCTTCTCTACCTCTTTACTTTCTTTCCCCTTTTTCTTTTCTTCCCTCTTTCTCTCCTTTCTTCCTTCTCTACCTCTTTCCTTCCTTCCTTCCCTTCCTTCTTCCTCTCTCCTTCTTCCTTCTCTCCCTTTCCTTTCCTTCCTTCCTTCCTTCCTTCCTTCTCTTCCTTCCTTCCTTCCTCCTTTCCTTCCTTCCTTCCCCTTCCTTCTTCCTTCTCTCCTTCCTTCCTTCTCTACCTCTTTCTTTCTTCCCCTTTTTTTCTTTCTTCCTCTTTCTCTCCTTTCTTCCTTCTCTACCTCTTTCCTTCTTCTTCTTTCTTTTTATTTTGCTTCCCTCCTTCTCTTTTCCTTCCCTCCCTCTTTCTTCCTTTCCTTTTTTCTTTCCTTTCTCTTCCTTCTAACATCTTTCTTTCTCCCCTCTTTTTTTTTCTTCTTTCCTCCTTTCTTCCTTCTTCTACCTCTTTCCTTCCTTCCTTCTTTTGCTTCCATCTTTCCTTCTCTCTTTCCTTTTTCCTTCCCTCTCTTCTTTCTCCTCTTCCCTCCTCTTCTTCTTCCTTTTTTCTTTCCTTCTTTTTTTCTACCCCCTTCCTTCCTTCCTCTTCCTTCCTTCCTTCTTCCTTCCTTCCTTCTTCTTTCCTTCCTTCCTTCTTCCTTCCTTTTTTCTGTATCGTCATTTAGCTTTATCATTTAGCTTTTGGGGTTTTTTAAGTCCTTTCCACTGTTTTTTGGGAGGGGTTTATGAGTGATGGTCACTTTGTGGTCTGTTAGGGGTGTAGTGTCCAAATTTGGTGTCAATTCATCCAGTGGTTTTTGAGTTATGTTATCCCACAAACGAACATTACATTTTTATTTATATAGATATAAGAAATGTCCTTTGACCAGTAGCTAGCCACTTGGAGTACCTCTAGTGTGACTGCAAGAAGGTCCTCCATTGTGTATGTGGCAGGGCTCAGGTTGCATTGCAGTAGGTGGTCTGTGGTTTCCTCTTCTCCGCACTTGCATGTCGTGGACTCCGCTTTGTGGCTCCATTTCTTAAGGTTGGCTCTGCATCTCGTGGTGCCAGAGTGCAGTCTGGGCAGTGCCTTCCAAGTCGCCCAATCTTCTGTGTGCCCAGGAGGGAGTTTCCAATTTGGTATCAGCCATGGATTAAGGTTCTGGGTTTTAGTCTGCCATCTTTGGGCTCTCACTTGCTGAGGTGTTCCAGCGAGTATCTCTGTAGATGTTAGAAAACTGTTTCTTAATTTAAGGCATTGGTGTGCTGATGATACCCAAACAGGGGTGTGCAGAAGTCATTGATACTATATATGTGTTTAACTGTTAGAGTATATATTTGTGTTTGTAACAGTAGCTAAAACTAGAGTTATCTGGTTTGAATCCACAGTGAGCGTTGCCAAGGAGACCAGGCAGGCTAGCTCAGGAGAGTGAGAAGTGGGCAGAGCCAAGCAGGAAAAGTTAAGTGCGTCTTTGGAAAAGGGGCAGTGTGGAGGCTTGAAAAAAGCCTAGGAGAGAGGTGTGTGTGAGCAGCTGGAGGTTTTTCAGTCTAGAAGGGCTGAAGAGAGAGACCTGGCAGTTTCTTTAGTCAAGGAAGACTAAAGAAAGCTTGTTAGGATCCCTAGTCAAGGAAGGACTAGAGATCAGAGATTTGGTCAAGGGAAGATCAAATTGGAAGGCTATTCATAGTAGGAAACATTGTTCACTAAAGAGCTTCACCTCAGTAAAAGTTAGCCACGAGCTGTGTTATTTGGAAGAGTGGACTGTATTACAAACCAAGTGATATTCAAAGTTCTATAAGTTATTTAACAGCCTGCAACCATACGCTTTGTACACAATAAACTTGTTATCTTTTGTTGAAGACCATCTCATCTCAATTAATCTGCGTCTGTAAAGCCAGATCTCATCGGTGGTACCTCAAATATCTCACGTTGGTGGCAGTTACCTTAATTTACAAGTAATAATTGGCCTCCTCTATAATATATTCTTATCAACAATTGAGGCCTGAGATTAATTCCCTCCATAATCATCCACACCTGTACAATTGGTTCGTGCATAACTGTACAAGGGGATACCCAAACGGGATGGGCCGGAGATGTCAATGTCTTGGTCCTTTCACTATTGGCTGCTACTTCCTGATGGATGTCAGGTGGTACAATACCAGCTATGCAGTGTAATTTTCCAGTGATGTAGGGCGCAGACACCCCGTGATAATGCGGCATGTCTCATTAAGAACCACATCCACTGTTTTAGCGTGGTGAGATGTGTTCCACACTGGGCATGCGTACTCAGCAGCAGAGTAGCATAGTGCAAGGGCAGATGTCTTCACTGTGTCTGGTTGTGATCCCCAGGTTGTGCCAGTCAGCTTTCGTATGATATTGTTTCTAGTAGCGCCCACCTTTTGCTTGATACTCAGGCAGCGCTTGTTGTAGGTCAGAGCACGGTCCAGAATAACTCCCAGGTATTTGGGTGCGCTGCCATGCTCCAGTGGATTTCCTTCCCAGGTGATCCTTAGAGCTCGGGATGCTTGTCTGTTCTTAAGGTGAAAGGCGCATGTCTGTGTTTTAGACGATTAGGGATCAGTTGGTTTTCCCTATAATAGCAGTAAGAGCACCTAGAGCTTCGGAGAGCTTCTGTTCTACCATCTCAAAGCTCCCTGCTTGAGCAGTAATGGCACGATCATCTGCATAGATGAAACTCTCTGTCCCTTCTGGCAGTGGCTGGTCATTTGTGTAGATGTTGAACATGGATGGAGCAAGCACGCTTCCATGAGGCAGGCCGTTTTTCTGTTTCCGCCATTTGTTTCTCTGGCCCTGGAACTCAACAAAAAAGCTCCTGTTTTGTAGCAGGTTTCCTATGAGGCGGGTGAGGTGGTCGTCCTTTGTGATATTATACATTTTTCTCAGAAGGAGGCGGTGGTTCACAGTATTATAAGCCGCTGATAGGTCTATGAAGACAGCTCCTGTGATCATAGCGATGAAGATGGAAAATAAAGTTTGGGCAATACCACATCCCTGTTGGACACCTGATTCCACCTTAAATGGGTCACTTTGGCTCTCCTTTAATCTAGGATTTCCTCCCAGCTTTATGCATCATCCATGAATGGAACCAGTCTCCTGATGGTCCTGCTGCTTTTGGTTTACTTTAGCCCGTCTGGCCTCCTTGCTCCCCGCAATTCCCACTTCCTAAAAGACAATGGATTCCACCCTTCCGTTGGCTTTGTTCAATGACATTAGCTGGACAGTAAACACATTTGGTTTGGGGGCACAAACATGGAGCGGACAACAGCTGCCAAATGTGCTCATTGCAGAATTGGTTCAGGACACTTTGGGTGCGTCTCCCATTGTAGAATTAAAGCAGTTTGACCCCACTCAAGGTTATGGGATCATAGATCTTGAACCTTCTCTGCCAAAGGAGACTAGTGGCTCACCAAATTACAACTCCTATGATCACTGAGCCATGGCATTTAAAGTGGTACCAAACTGCATTAATTCTGTAGTGTGGATGCACCCTAGGACTCTGGGTTTGATTCACCACTCAGACATGGAACCTCACTGGAGAAATTGGGTCTCTTAGGATTACAAAAAAGCACAAAAAAGGAGAACTGGTTTCTTATTTTCTACCCCGATGTCCTTGAAGGAGGATGAGACCGAAGTAGAATAAGTAGGTCTATAATTCACAATCCACAAGGGCTTACTTACTTACTTACTTACTTATGCAATCCCTCGTTGTCCGAGTAGGATAGCGTGTGCTCAGTGTGCTGATGGGTCCGTAGTGCCAATGGGTCCGTAGGTGACTGGAACCCTGTTCTTGACATGCATGGTTCTCCCACAGTGAGGGCATTGGTTTCCAGGTGGAAGGTGGTCTTAGTTGGGGTTGGCACATTTGGCACATTTCTCTCTTTCGCCCTCCATTCGTGACTCTTCGTGACTCTTCAAATTCTACAGCACTGCTGGTCACAGCTGACCTCCAGCTGGAATGCTCAAGGGCCAGAGCTTCCCAGTTCTCAGTGTCTATGACAGAGTTTTTAAGGCTGGCTTTGATGGTGGTCGGGCATCCGGACAACGTGGCTGGTCCAGCGGAGTTTGATGGCGGAGGAAAAGGTTGGGGTTCGTCTTATATGCCCAGTCGTCTTATATGCCGGAATATATGGTATAACCTGTTTGTTTTCTCTTTTAGGCCAAATGTCTGTGCCAGTCGACAGCTTGTAATGGGCAGCCGCCAGCAGCCGAGGATCCAAGGCTTTACCCGTTCGGTGAAAGTATCGACACTGGGCTGCGGAGGCCAGCCTTGGTGCGTTGGCTACAAGTGGAGGTCGGTGCCCTTGTTTTGTTGAATCCGAGTGCAACAGTTCCATTGTAATTGCTGTGGCAACACTCCAAAACACTTGGATCCTACTGTTAGTCCTCAGAGTGGATTACAGTGTGAACATACTGGCAAACGTTCAATGCCTGGTTACAATACAATGGGACACTCAAACACAAAGGCAGAGGTTCTCCTTGCCTTTTTGGCTTTGGAGGCAGTGCTCATCTCTGGCTCTGAGGAGGTGCTCTTCCCCATTTCCAAGTTGTCACCTCCTGGCCATGTGACCAGTATGACTGCTTGAAGTATCTTATGCCTTTTTCCACTGAAGTTGTATCTCTTTATCTACTCACATTTGCATGTTGTTGAACTGCTAGGTTGGCAGGAGCTGGGCCTAACAGTGAGAGCTCAGCCTGTCCCGTTGGTTTGAACTGTCAACCTTCAGGCCAGCAGTTCAACAGCACAAGGGTTTAACCCATTGCACCACCATGGCCCACAAAATTTAGGAAGCTTTACATCCCTAAAGTTTCCTAGTTTGTGAGCTCCCGTTGTTAGCCCCAGCTTCTGCCAACTGAGGCGAGGGAGAGAGATTATTTCCTCTTTAAAAACCTTTTTGCTGCCTTACACTGATTCAGTTTCTTCTTTTATAATGGCTGGGACTTTCTGTGTGCTGTTAAACCTTTGTACTTTATATCACAGGCAATGAAACTCTCTTGTGTATAACAAAGTAACACAATTTATTTATAACTTCTTGCTCCAACGCTTGTGGTTTAGGGCTGGGCGGTTTCATTTCGTTAATTCGTAATTCGTTAATAATTCGTTAATTTTTTCAATTACAAAACGATAACGAACCATTCTGGAGCAATTTAAAAAAAACGAATTTTTAAATACGTTTCGCAAATGCTTCGTATTTCGTTATTGTATTCGTTTCGTTATTGTTTTGAGGTCGTTTCGTTATTATTTCCGCATGTCTGGGGCAAGTTTTATGGTTGTTTTTTGTTTAATTAGTGAAAAAAAATTATAATATCACACCAACAGTCAACAACAGAGGGAGAGGGAAGCTTCAGAAGTTTTTGGAGGTTTTTTAGCGTATTTCGCGGTCGCGTCCGCCATTAACGAATCGATTCGTTATTGTTTCGGAAATCAATTCGTTAATGTTTTGTAATTTTTTCACATTTACGAAATTTCGTAAATATCGAACTTTTTAAAAGGAAAATTTTGTAATTATTTTAAATAACGAAATGCAAAAAACCCCAAAAAACGAATCGATTTTAGAAACAAATTTTTCCGTTGTTACCCAGGCCTATTGTGGTTACATTTGGGTTTTGTTGCAATCTTGAGGCTTACAGTCAGTATCATTTACTTGATTAACTTTTCTGAATAAACTATCAATGTTTCACATTCACAAACATGTTACTTGCTTTACACACTCTTGGCTGAATTATATTCTGAACTAAGGCAACACTAGCCTTCTTTATGTTCCTTAAAACTCGAGCTCTATTTAACGAACTGCTTCTCTATATCAGAAGTCTTTAACACATCTTCATAACTGCTTATTTCTATCAGGCACTCAAAAACAAACTCTCCTCTTCACACAGATTCCTAACTGTCATTTTCAAACTCCCTCACTCTAACTGCCTCTTTCAGACCCTTGGCTCCGCCCCTTTGGAATGTTGAGCTCTGCTCTCCCCAACTGTCATTTTGGCCTAGCAGCCTTTTCAAATCCTGGGCCTACACTAATCTGCATGTGACCAATCGGCTTCACATATGCAAATGAATCCTATCTCTGCTTTTGCTATCCTGTCATAGAATCATAGAATCAAAGAGTTGGAAGAGACCTCATGGGCCATCCAGTCCAACCCCATTCTGCCAAGAAGTAGGAATATTGCATTCAAATCACCCCTGACAGATGGCCATCCAGCCTCTGTTTAAAAGCTTCCAAAGAAGGAGCCTCCACCACAGTCCGGGGCAGAGAGTTCTACTGCTGAATGGCTCTCACAGTCAGGAAGTTCTTCCTCATGTTCAGATGGAATCTCCTTTCTTGTAGTTTGAAACCATTGTTCCGTGTCGTAGTCTCCAGGAAAGCAGAAAACAAGCTTGCTCCCTCCTCCCTGTGGCTTCCTCTCACATATTTAAACATGGCTATCATATCCCCTCTCAGCCTTCTCTTCTTCAGGCTAAACATGCCCAGCTCCTTAAGCCGCTCCTCATAGGGCTTGTTCTCCAGACCCTTTATCATTTTAGTCGCTCTCCTCTGGACTATTTTTCACTATCTGCCATATGTAAACATAGAGCTATACACCAAAACTTTAACATAGAGTAGCAATTTCACTACAGCAACCTAGCAGTTTGAAAACATGCAAATGTGAGTAACAGCACTCCATGCAGTCATGCTAGCCACATTACCTTGGAGGTGTCTATGGACAATGCCAGCTCTTCGGCTTAGAAATGGAGATGAGCACCACCCCCTACAGTTGGACTCGTCTAGACTTAATGTCAACAGGAAACCTTATTATTAAGGTTATCCATCATGCTGGCCACAGAACCTCGGACAGGTCCCTTAAAGTTCGGACTAGAGTCCGGGATGGATGCACAGTTCCACAGAAAATGAATGCAGGTCCCAAGAAATGTCGGCAGTTGAGGACGACCTTTAAGTAATGTATGGTATGTAAGGAATCCTTTGCAACGTGTCACTGTTGGCAATTGCATGGCTGACGGGAGCTGTCCACTGGGAAAAGTTGTTGGCAGGGAGACAAACATCCCTGCCGACAACGTTCAAATGTTTTGAACTCTGAAAGGTGTTTGTCTGCAGCGGCAGGACATCAAAGACTCAGAGAACACTTTATGTGTTTGGCATGGGGTCTTTACTAAGCAACAAGGTCTCTTTATTTGCTGCTAACGTATATGCACTTACCTCTGTTTGTGTATTGTCTGTCCTTGTCAGTTGTGTAATGGTATTGAATGTTGGAATGTTTGCTGTATATGTGTTCTGTAATCCGCCCTGAGTCCCCTTAGGGCAGTGTTTCTCAACCTAGGGGGGTCAAGACCCCCTGGGGGGTCGTGCGGGGGTGTCAAAGGGGTCGCTAAAGACCATCAGAAAACAGTATTTTCTGTTAGTCGTGAGAGTTCTGTGTGGGAAGTTGGCCCAATTCTCTCATTGGTGGGGTTCAGGATGCTCTTTGATTGTAGGTGAACTATAAATCTCAGCAACTGCAACTTCCAAATGTCAAGGTCTATATTCCCCAAACTTCACCAGTGTTCACATTTGGGCATATTGAGAATTCGTGCCAAGTTTGGTCAAGATCTATCATTGTCTGAGACCACAGTGCTCTCTGGATTTAGGTGAACTACAACTCCAAAACTCAAGGTCAATGCCCACCAAACTCTATTTTCTGTTGGTCATGGGAGTTCTGTGAGGGAAGTTGGCCCAATTCTCTCATTGGTGGGGTTCAGGATGCTCTTTGATTGTAGGTGAACTATAAATCTCAGCAACTGCAACTTCCAAATGTCAAGGTCTATTTTCCCCAAACTTCACCAGTGTTCACATTTGGGCATATTGAGAATTCGTGCCAAGTTTGGTCCAGATCTATCATTGTCTGAGTCCACAGTGCTCTCTGGATTTAGGTGAACTACAACTCCAAAATTCAAGGTCAATGCCCACCAAACTCTATTTTCTGTTGGTCATGGGAGTTCTGTGTGGGAAGTTGGCCCAATTGTTATGTTATTATGTTATTATGATTAATTATTAATTATATGCATGGTCTGGGTTAGGTATTTATTTATTTATTTTGTTTATTGTATTTTTAACCCGCTCTATCTCACCCCGAAGGTACCTTGTGATGCTATAGTTTTTTAGAAATACTCGTTGCGGCTGGACTCGCAACTCCCATCATCCTCAGTCAGGCCAAGATTAGGGGACATATGGATTAGGGGAAGGAAGGAAAAGAAGAAGGGAATGAATTGAAGGGAGAAGGAAAGAAGAGAGGGAAGAAAGAAAAGAAAGGGAAAAAGAAGAAAGGAAGGGAGAAGACAAGGAGTTGGGAAAGGGGAAGAAAGAAAAAGGGAAAGAGAGAGAGAGGAAGAAGGAAAGAGGAGGATAAGAAAGAAAGGGAAAGAAGGGAAGAGAAAGAAAGAAGGGTTGAAAGAAGGGAAGAAAGAGAGAAACAAAGGGAAGAAATAAGGAAATGAAGCAAAGGAGGGAAGAAGGGAGGGAAGAGAAAGAGGAAGGGAAAAAAAGAAGAGAATTAAGGAAAAGGCTGAAGGGAAATAAGGGATGAAAGAAAGGAAGGGAAGAAAGAAGGGAATGAAGAAAAAGAAGGAAGGGAATAGGAATGAAAGAAGGGAGGTGAGAGAGAAAGGAAGGGAAGAAAGAAGGACATGAAGGAAAGGAAGGAAGAAAGGATGGAAGAGGGGAGGGAAAAAAGAAAAGAAGGGAAGAAGGGAATGAAGGAAAGAGGGAAGAAGGGACGGAAGAAGGGAGGGAAGGGAGAAAGGAAGGGAAGAAAGAATGGAAGGTAGGAAAAGAGGGAAGGAAAAGGAAGGGGAAAAGGGATGAAAGAAGGAAGAGAATGAAGAAGGGAAGAGAAAGGAAGGGAAAAAATGGGAAGAGAGAAAGGAAGGGAAGAAAGAAGGGAATGAAGGAAAGGAGGGAAGAAGGGATGGAAGAAGGGATGGAGGAGAGAAAGGAAGGGAAGAAAGAAGGGAATGAAGGAAAGGGGAGAAGAGAAAGGAAGAGAAGGGAAGGGAAGAATGGATGAAAGAAGGGAGTGAAGAAAGGAAGGAAGAAGAGGAAGGAGAAAAGGGGAGGAAAGAAGGAAGGGAAAAAGAGGAAAGAAGGAAGGGAAGAAGGAGGGAAGAGAAAGAAAGGGAAAAAGAAGGGAAGAGAGAAGGAAGGGAAAGAGGGAATGAGGGAAGGAGGGAGGGAAGAAGGAGGGAGGGGAGAGAAAGAAGGAAGGAAGAAAGGAATGAAGGAAAGGAGAGAATAGAAGGGAAGGAAGGGATGAAAGAAGGGAGGGAAGAGAGCAACAGGGAAGAAAGAAGGTAATGAAGAAAAAGGGGAAGGGAAAAGAAGAAGGGATGAAAGAAAGGAAGGGAAGAAAGAAGGGAATGAAGAAAAGGAGGGAAGAGAAAGGAAGTGAAAGGATGAAAGAAGGGAGAGGAGAGAGACAGGAAGAAAGAAGGGAATGAAGGAGAGGAGGGATGGAAGAAGGGAGGGAGGAAAGAAAAGAAGGGAAGGAAGAAGGGAATGAAGGAAAGGAGAGAAGAGAGAAGAGAAAGGAAGAGAGGAGAAGAGAAAGGAAGGGAAGTGAACAAGGGATGAAAGAAGGGAGGGAAGAGAGAAAAAGGGAAGAAAGAAGGTAATGAAGGAAAAGAGAGAAGGAAAAAGAAGGGAAGAAAGGATGAAAGAAGGGAGGGAAGAAAGAAAGGAAGGGAAGAAAGAATGGAAAGTAGGAAAAGAGGGAAGGAAGGGGAGATGAAAGAAGGGAGGGAAGAGAGCAACAGGGAAGAAAGAAGGTAATGAAGAAAAAGGGGAAGGGAAAAGAAGAAGGGATGAAAGAAAGGAAGGGAAGAAAGAAGGGAATGAAGAAAAGGAGGGAAGAGAAAGGAAGTGAAAGGATGAAAGAAGGGAGAGGAGAGAGACAGGAAGAAAGAAGGGAATGAAGGAGAGGAGGGATGGAAGAAGGGAGGGAGGAAAGAAAAGAAGGGAAGGAAGAAGGGAATGAAGGAAAGGAGAGAAGAGAGAAGAGAAAGGAAGAGAGGAGAAGAGAAAGGAAGGGAAGTGAACAAGGGATGAAAGAAGGGAGGGAAGAGAGAGAAAGAAGGTAATGAAGGAAAAGAGAGAAGGAAAAGGAAGGGAAGAAGGGATGAAAGAAGGGAGGGAAGAAAGAATGGAAGGGAAGAAAGAAAGGTAGGAAGGGAGGGAAGTGAAAGGAAGGGAAGGAGGGATGAAAGAAGGGAAGGAGGAGAGAAAGGAAGGGAAGAAAGAATGGAAGGTAGGAAAAGGAGGAAGGGAAAGGAAGGGAAGAAGGGATGAAAGAAGGGAAGGAGGAGAGAAAGGAAGGGAAGAAAGAATGGAAGGTAGGAAAAGGGGGAAGGGAAAGGAAGGGAAGAAGGGATGAAAGAAGGAAGGGAAGAGAGAAAGGAATGAAGGAAAGGAGGGAAGTGAAAGGAAGGGAAGAAAAAGAAGGGCAGAGAGAGGAAGGGAAGAAAGAAGGGGTGAAGGTAGGTAGGAAAGAAAGAGAAAGGAAGGAAGAGAAAGGAAAGAACAAAAGAAGAGGGGGAAAGTGTATGAATGAAAGCAAGGGAAGAAGGAAAGGAAAGAGAAGAGAAGGAGAAAGTGTACGGAGGAAGCAGAGGAAGGAAAGAAAGGGCTATAACCGAGGCCTTGTTCTGAACCAATCCATGGAACAGCCTTGTGTGGATGATGTAATGTCGTCTGCCAATTCACTCATGTTTGCTTGCCCGTTTTCTGAAAGCCGGCGGGAAAACAGGAGATGTCGACACTCTGGGTATGCGATCCAGATGGGTTTTGTCCAGTTTGGGAGCTATTTTGCTGTCTAATGAGTAATGACCGGCGATTGCTTTCCCAGATGCATCTTTACACATGCTTTCGCTTGGATTGAAATGGATAAAATCGTTCCGCAGATCGCAGTTTTGATTTCCTTTTTGATATCTGCAAAACAAACAAACAAACAAAACTTCCCCAAAGCAAACGATCCCTATTTCGTCTTCAAATGGACTAAAAACATTATTAGTTGTTCTAAGGTGCATCTGAACATACTAAAGAGGTTTGGGGAGAATTTGCATGAGTTAGAGGAGTTGTAGGTTCTGGGATGTATAGTTCACCTGCAGTGAACTCACTGAGCACACTGAACTCACTCATAGTTGGTGAGTTCAGTGAGCACACTGAACTCACCAACTATGGACCTGAAACTCACTTGGCACACAGAACACCCATGACCCAACAAAACATACTGGAGGTCTTTGGAGGGATTTATAGGAGTTGTAGTTCACTTACATCCAGAGTGCACTATGAACCCTAACCATGATGGATCTGGACCATACTTGGCATGCATACCCAATATGCCCAAATTTGAATACTGGTAGGTTTTGAGGGGAATTGGTCAGGACGTTTTGGAGTTGTAGGTCTTGGGATTTATAGTTCACCTGCAATCAGTAAGCACTCTGAACTCCACCAAGGATGGAATTAGACCAAACTTGGCACACAGAGCCTTCATGACCAGCAAAAAATACTGGAGGTCGTTGGGGAGGCCTTTGATTTGGGGGAGTTGTAGTTCACCTACATCCAGAGAGCACTGTAAACCCAAACACTGATGGATCTGGATGAACAATTGGCATACAAATATGTTGAAAGTTGATTACTGGATAGGTTTAGGGGAACTGACCTTCCTTTCTGGGAGTTGTAGTTCACCCACAACCAGAGAAACTGTGACCACCACTGATGATGGACCTGGACCAAATTTTGCACACAGAACCCCCATGACTAACTTAACCTACAGAAGGGGTTTGAGAGGACTGACTCACCATAGTGGGAGTTGTAGTTTACCCTACAGCCAGAGAGCACACCGAACCCCACCAATGATACATCTAGCGCAAACTTGCCCAACGTAACAAACTTTAAATACTGATGGAGTTTCAGGGGGTTAACCTGGCATGATGTGAGTTGTAGTTCACCCACAATCTTATGTATTTCGTACTATTAAAAAGTGACTTTTTCCTTTTTCAAATAGTAATGCAGTAAAGTCCAATACAGTTAAATACATAAAATGGAATAATGCTATAGTATACAGTTATGCAATCCCAGGAGTTGTCAATGTCATCCTGGGAGTCATAGTTAGACCTGGAGCCTTCTCTGTCCAAGAGTGTGACAACTCCTGGGATTGCATAACTGTAAACTATAGCATTATTCCATCATGAGAGCCGTTCAGCAGTGGAACTCTCTGCCCCGGAGTGTGGTGGAGGCTCCTTCTTTGGAAGCTTTTAAACAGAGGCTGGATGGCCATCTGTCAGGGGTGATTTGAATGCAATATTCCTGCTTCTTGGCAGGGGGTTGGACTGGATGGCCCATGAGGTCTCTTCCAACTCTTTGATTCTATGATTCTATGATCAGTTATAAGAAACTGCATTAATTCTGCAGTGTAGATGCCCTCACTGTTCAGCTTCAGTCAGGCATTTTCTCGTCATAATTTTTGTCATGGAATCAAAGAAGGATAGGATTGGAAGGGACCCCCAAGGGCCATCCTGTCCAACCCTATCCTGCCAGGTGGGAAGACACAATCAAAACACTCCTGACAGATGGCCATCCAGCTTGTGCTTCCTCCAGAGAAGTCTTCTTGTGCAGACCTATGCTGGCCGCCTAACTTTGTGTTTATCTAATCTCAGGATGGTGTACTATATGGACAACCGGCAAATCTACAGCATGCAGCACCAGACGGTGTACCGTTGCTGTCCTGGATGGTCCCAACTTGGAGAGAGCGCAGGATGCCTTTATCGTAAGTAGACCCCTGTAGCGAGGATGCTGCAGACATTTCTCAGATGGAAATGATCCAGCCACTGATGAATTGACTAATTTGGCTTCATGCTCCGCTTGCTTTGCCTTTTGTGGCGCGTCTCCTGGCTGCTCCAGAGAGAAGGGATTTCGAGGCGGATGAGTTGTGTGAGCGAGGGAGCCAGGTGTGGACGCTGCACGGCCATCCTCATCCATCTCCATGGGCCCAGCAAAGAAGAACGTTGCCAGTTGTCCGCATCTGGTTCCTGATCTCATCCCTGCTTTGCGAAATGTGCTTCTCTAAAGTCCTCCTCCAAGCAATCGCCTGTATAATGTGGAGGCTGTGCTGGTACGGCTGTACCAGGAGCTCCCACTTTATTTGCTTTGTATTAAATGTTTGCTTGCAGACAGGGATTCTGCAGGAAGGTGGCGTCCTTTGGTTGCAGTCGTAGGGCAAGTCACCTGTCCATCATCGTTAAGTTTTGGTTCCGCCCCTTGCTCAGGGCAATTGGGAAGGGAAGGGAGCCATTTTTTAGTCAGTCTCAGCAAGGAAAGCTAATGTACAGGACATGTGCATGCTTCCCCTGTACAAAAGCTGCAACCCTTAAGACTTTCTGGGGGGAAACAGTCTTAAGAGCATCAAGACTTTCCGGGGGAAAACAGTCTGAAGAGTCTCCAAAGATTTCCAGGAAAACATCCCTAAAGACCAAAGAACTCCAGCTGGAGAACATCTAATCCTTTACTAGTAGGTCCACTCAGTGCTTCGAGACGCAGTTCGACCCGGTAGCAGAGCCCACATCAGTAAGGGTTAGATTACAGTCAGCCTGGGAGAAGTTAAAAAGGGGATTTTCCTTTAAAGTAAAGAAGAAGTTATTGAAGACAGTTGCCTGTCCTTCGTGGGCAAGATTAGGAAGTCACCAGTTGCATAAAACCTGGAAGCATTTGTTTAGCTGTATTGAAGACAAGAGAAGTTTCTGTTTGATTGTTCATTAATAAAAGACTTTGTTATACTTCCCAAGCCATCCAAAGATCATTTGTGGTGGAAAACTTCTGAGAACTTCTCCTTGGGCCCCCTGGCTTCCCGCTGGGCAAAGGTTGCACGTCCTGTTCTAAAGGAAATTCTTTACAGGCCCAGCGCGCGACAGAACAGAGGCTGAGAAATATTGAGGGTCTACTAGATTCCATATAGATCCGTAGAGCTGGAAGAGACCCCAAAGGCCATCCAATCAAACCCCCTTCCGCCAGAAAGGAAGAATCTCTCCCAATGAAGATGGCAATCCACAGAAGGAGCTTCCCCTGGATTCATAGGCAGCATATTTCAGTGCTGAACAAGTCTTACCAGCAGGAAGTTCTTCCTCAAGATCTCCAGTTCAGCATTGGTTCTGGTTTTGAATTTGCTGTGTCCTAAGCCACTTCATTGGTCCATTCAATGGCAAGTGTGTTTTGGATTGTAGCAATACCCTGATTTTAATTTTGATGGTTGGTGACAGGCCCGTAGCCAGGATTTTGATTCGAATGGGGGGGGGGGGGGGGGGTCTGAGTGAGAGAGGATCTACCCTAGCAAACCCTAAATTACTAGGCCTGTTTGATCAAGAAAAAATTTGTTTCTAAAATCGATTTGTAATTGGGGTGTTTTTTTGTTTCGATATTTAAAATAATTACAAAACTTTCCAAAAAAAAGTTTCGGTATTTACGAAATTTCGTAAATATTAACAAAACATTTTGTAAAGATGGGGCCTTTTTTTTTTCAATATTTTTTAATATTTTTTAAATTTAATTATTAAATAATTTAGTAGAATAGGGAGGAGAAATTAAGGGAAGGCAGGCACTCACTCTGGCGGGCCCTCTCGCTCGCCGCTCGCCCTCTCACTCGCCCTCTCGCTCGCCGCTCGCCCTCTCACTCGCCCTCTCGCTCGCCGCTTGCCCTCTCGCTCGCCGCTCGCCCTCTCACTCGCCCTCTCGCTCGCCGCTCGCCCTCTCGCTCGCCGCTCGCCCTCTCACTCGCCCTCTCGCTCGCCGCTCGCCCTCTCGCTCGCCCGCTCGCCCTCTCACTCGCCCTCTCGCTCGCCGCTCGCCCTCTCACTCGCCCTCTCGCTCGCCGCTCGCCCTCTCACTCACCCTCTCACTCGCCGCCCTCTCGCTCGCCGCTCGCCCTCGCCCTCTCGCTCGCCCCCCTCTCGCTCGCTTGCTCAGCCGGCGCGGAGAGAGGAGAGCTCCCAGCAAGCCAGGCGGCCATCTTACGTATTTCCGAAATGGACGGAAATACAAAATTTTTTGGCGCCTGCCGTTTCGATATTTAAAAACCCTTCCGGGTTTGAAAATATGTTTTGTTATCATTTCGTATATGCAAAAATTAACGAATGTTTAACGAATTAACGAATTAACGAACGAAACCGCACAGGCCTATAAATTACATATTCTGCCTTTGGAGGCAGCATATGAGTAGCATAACTAACTTTGTTTTAACATAGAAGAACTGAATAATAATAATAATAATAATAATAATAATAATAGCTCTGGCATAAACCAGTACAGGTGGTCCCAGTGTGCCGAAAGATCTCAACCGGCGTTTGGAAACAATAAACATTGAAGATTTTAACAAGAGGACATATGTTCAGCAAAGGACAAGAGGGATCCTCTCACTTCTGCACAAATCTATCGTATAACATGCAGCTGTGGACAAGAAGTCTCCATAGGGACCACCAAACACAGCAGCGTTGCCCAAACACGAATCAAGGAACATGAAAGGCACGTCAGACTACTTCAACCAGAGAAATCAGCCATAGCAGAGCACCAGATGAACCAACCTGGACACAGCATATTATTTGAGAACACAGAAATGCTGGACCACTCTCACAACCACCATGTCAGGCTACATAGAGAAGCCATTGAGATCCACAAGCATGCGGAGAAGTTCAACAGAAAGGAGGAAACCATGAAAATGAACACAATCTGGCTACCAGTATTAAAAAACTCTAAAATTACAACAGCACAACCACAGAGAGGTAACAAACAAGGACATCTAATCACCTCTCCACAAAAGTTTGCTCTAGGCACTGTCAGACCATTTTATGCTAATCAAGGTGATCAGTTGAAACATTCACACTTAGCTCCAGCAGACAAGAGTCCTTTGTCCCACCCTGGCCATTCCGCAGATATATAAACCCTTTTTCCTAGTTCCAACAGATCTCACAACCTCTGAGGATACTTGCCATAGATGCAGGCGAAACGTCAGGAGAGAATGTCTCTAGACCATGGCCATATAGCCTGAAAAAAAAACTACAACTCACTGATTAATGTCCAAGATTCAAGAAACCAAAGTGTTTTGGTACAGCCGCACCAGGACTTCTAGCTTATCTTGCTATCTGTTTGATGCTGCATGTATTTGAAGTTATATGCCTTTGCAGTTAGATGGCTCTCCTTATTTTGCAGTTATTGGGTCAATTGCTTGTCAATTATCCTTAGGTTCCCTAGTCCCGCCCCCTTTTTGGGTTTTGGTAGGGAAGTGAGCCATTTTGAGTTTAGTTTCAGCCAGGTTAGCCAATGTATAGGATGTGTGTTGCTTCCCCTGTACAAAGGCTTCAACCTTTAAGAATTCCAGGGTCACAGAAACTCTAACATAATCTCCAGGGGAGAACAGCTTGAAGAGTCTCCTAAGAACTCCAGGGAAGCCTTCCCACAGCCTTGAGAGTTTCCAGGAAGACAGCCTTAAGGTCTAAAGAACTCCAGCTGGAGAACATCCATTGCCTTGCTGGTAGGTCCTCTCAGCGCTCGAGAAGCAGTTCGGCCTGGCAGCGGAACCCACACCAGTGAGGGTTGGATTTTAGTCAGCCTTGGGAGAAGTTAAAAAGGGGAATTTTCCTTTAGAGAAAGTTATTGAAGATAGTGCCTGTCCCCTGTGGGCAAGATTGAGAGAATTTATTTATTTTATTTATTTACTTTGCTTATATACCGCAATTCTCAGCCTAATGGCGACTCATTGCGGTGTACAACATAGAAAAACCGGTGCAAAATACAAACATAGTGTAAAATAATCCGCAGTACATCATTATCAAAACATCTCATCAAAAACATCAACATTACTACAAAGCCATTCCGAGTTGTCTCATCGTCAAGTTCACAATCCGATACAATTTCCGTTGTTCCATTCCTATGGTCAAGTTACCAGTCATTGCACTTCTATTCAAATGCCTTCTTAAACAGCCAGGTCTTTAGCTTCCTGCGGAATATCAACAGGGAGGGGGCTAGCCTGATGTCTATAGGAAGGGTGTTCCACAGCCGAGGAGCCACCACAGAGAAGGCCCTATCTCTCGTCCCCGCCAGTCATGCCTGTGACGCAGGCGGGATCGAGAGCAGGGTCTCCCCGGAAGATCTCAAAGTCCTCGTGGGCTCATAGGCCGAGAGGCGGTCAGTTAGGTATCTTGGGCCGGAACCGTTTAGGGCTTTATAGGCCAATGCCAGCACCTTGAATTGAGCCCTGTAGCAGATAGGCAGTCAGTGGAGCTGGTACAGCAGGGGGGTTGTATGCTCCCTGCACCCCGCTCCTGTTAGTATCATGGCTGCCGCATGTTGGACCAATTGGAGCTTCCGGGCCGTCTTCAAGGGCAACCCCACGTAGAGAGCGTTGCAGTAGTCTAAACGGGATGTAACCAGAGCGTGGACTACCGTGGCCAAGTCAGACTTCCCAAGGTACGGGAGCAGCTGGCGCACGGGCCTAAGCTGTGCAAATGCTCCCCTGGTCACTGCTGAGACCTGGGGCTCCAGGCTCAGCGATGAATCCAGGATCACACCCATGCTGCGAACCTGCGCCTTCAAGGGGAGTGCGACCCCATCCAGCACAGGCTGTAACCCTATACCCTGTTTGGCCTTGCGACTGACCAGGAGGACCTCTGTCTTGTCTGGATTCAACTTCAATTTGTTCGCCCTCATCTAGACCGTTACAGCGGCCAAGCACCAGTTCAGGACCTCGACAGCCTCCTTAGTAGCAGGTGGGAAGGAGTGACA